AACATGCGATAGATGAAGGCATACCCAAAGGCAATAAAACAAAGAAATTACGCAATATCACCCGCCATTGAACAACTTATGTATACAGAAATTTAAAGAATGCTTGCTCTAGGGATTCGAACAGAATTCGACAGTCCTTGGTCATCTCCGGTGGTTCTGGTTCGTGATCCCAGAAAGGTAAGACTATGCATAGACTGTCGGAAACTCAACGAAGTATCCATTAAAAATGCGTACCTCATGCCACTCATCCTCAGCCGCCTAACTAGGGCTGTATTTATATCTAGCATAGATCTCAAGGATGCCTATTGGCAGATTCCGTTAAAAGAGAGCGCACGAGAAAAAAGGTTTTTTCAGTTCCGGGCAGACTTCTCTAACGGTTCACTGTTAAGCTGTTTGTACTAGCCTATGCACCTCAAACCATGTGTACGCTCGTGGACAAAGCCATTCCGCCATCACTAAGTGTAAATGTCATCCAAGTAATAAGTCCAGGCCAACCTTTTCGTTAGAGTTCTCCTTATTGAATAATTCTTAACTCTATAACAATTCTTCGTACAGCTAGTAAAGAGTGTAGCTGCGCCGACAGAGACGCTTCAATGCTTATGTATAGACGTATGTATTTATAGCGGCTGGCGAAGAGTCGCCGCGGCAGAGGAGAGGTCTTATGTTCACATGGTGACAAAGCGGTCGCGCATGTCAAGTAAGCAGACTAAGCACTGCCCAATCCCAGTGCACTCAACGGCGATCATATTACCGGGCACTTGAAGAACTGTTTGGGACTTGAATTTGTGTATACATATTATTACTGCGTAACTTTAAGTACAGTGCGCATTCGATATGTGAACATACTACATCTCCCTCCTTAGAAAAATAACGTTATTATATGAAGTTATATTCTTCGTATTTTTATTGTATGAAACTATACAAGTATATATATATACGTACTTTTGTTTTTTATGAATATTTTTATTTTATTTAATTAAATTTTGTTTCTTTTCTTTTTTTATTATGTTTTTTATTCTATGTATGGAATACCAGCTCATATGGACAATAATCATGTGCCATAGAGGGTGTAGTGTTAAAGCAGTAAGTGAAGTATGGGAGCTAAACGTCCCCATCAGATTTGTTGATTTATATGTCGGAGAGGAGGTAATTCAGTCTTTCGTTAGGCATGAGACTTTAAGGTGTGACCATGGGTCGTGCTGGTATATACCAGTTCTGGTATGATGGGGACTCAGTTTGCGAACTGAGGCTGTGTGTGGCTTCGCTGCGTTGCTAGATCTGGTCTTTCCCCTCTCTCTCTCGTCCCGAGATATAGCGTTGTGTACAATTGAGGACTGCTAAAAGGTTAATTATTATGAGCAACAAAGGAAACAAAGTCCCGCTGCATTAGCCAGAACACAATATGAAACAACAACAAGCAATCGATCAAGCGACTAATGGGAACCTGCATGGAGAAGGCTCCAATCTTCTGACATCTGAAGTGGGATTCGGCCCTAACCAAACTTGTTCGAGGGATGTCTTAGCGCTGTTAGAACAACAAAACCGGAACCTTCTGGAACTGGTTAAGAGGCTACAGATGCCGACGAGTGAGTTGCAACAGACTAGCTGGCGTGGATGCCACGCAGTGGTGCTCTGCGGTCGACATCATCTTACGAGGAAACCCATTAAGTGACAGCTCTCTTATAATAGCATTAAGTAAAGCTTTGGAAGGCACAGCGGCGCAATGGTTATTGCAAATATGCTACCCGGGAATAACTTGGCAATAGTTCCGGCAATTGTTTGAGCAGCGATACGAGACTTCAGAGACGCCAGTCGCCGTCATTTTAAGTCTTCTTGTAGTCGTCCAAGCAAGGATGAAAGCCTGCCTGTTTTTGCAAGTCGCAGTGTGACGTCACTGTGCACAAAATTGCGTAATTTGAATTCCGAAGAAATTTCCATCGCGCTGGTTCTTGGGCACATGTCTAATTTCAACCGACGTTTGCAGCGAATGATACACACAACGCATGTAAACAATCGACGTGAACTGCAAGCGGAGCTGTAAGTATTCTCAGCGCTAAAAGAGCGCCCTAGTGCATCAAACTGGGGAAACTAGGATTGGGAGTAAGAATGGAAAAAAGGGGGGAGCTATGCGCTATAGGGGAGCCTTAATCGAGTATGCTGGTCAATGGTGAGAGATTTCTAATTACCTTTGTGATTCGAGAGCTGAGTGCTCATTAACTAAGGAAAGCGTTTTTAATCGGCAGAGAAATATTGGTTCAAGTGTTTTTAGTAGAAGTCTCCTACAATAATTTTAAAATTGTTCAAACTAAATTGTAAACATTGTGAAACCGCTCAACCTTATAATTTTGATAAGATTGAAACTGAAATGGTCGAAAATGAAAAAGCAATTTTAATATCATTGCTAAAGCAACATTTTACTGGGGAAATGCGTATTCGTTTGATTGAATTGACTAAGACTGTGCAAATGCGACTTAGTCCAAGCTAACGGGAGTTAGTACGTGCTAAAACTAAAGAATTGATCGAATATAAAGATTATCAGGCCTAGTAACTCAACATTTGCAATTCCAGCATTATTAGTGAAAAAGAAAACTGGCTCAGCAAGATTTCGTGTTGATTATAGAGAATTAAATAAAAATACCGTAGTTTATAAGTTTCCATTACCGTTAATATCAGACCAAATAGTTAGACTTAGGGGAGCTAAATATTTCACTCCTCTTGACATGGCTAGCGGGTATTACCAGATTTCAATGCACCCTGAATCAATCGAATATACTGCTTTTGTTACCCCTGCTGGGCAGTACGAATTTCTTGCGATGCCTTTTGGATTAAAAAACGCACCTTCAGTGTTTCAGAGAGCTGTATTAAAGACACTCGGCAGTCTTGCTCATTCGTTTGTAATTGCTTAAACTTGGCCCTCGCTTAACACGGTGGTTACTTTCCTAGAATTCCTCGGGTCAAGTGAAATAGTGTTAAGCGAAACATGGATTCAGTACAAAATAAGGGGTTACGTTTTCAAAATTCAAAATTGACAGCAAGAAAAAATGTGTATGGTTCAATTTCGGCTTGTTTTTATTAAAGTTTCATACATTTGTTCAAATTCAACCAAAAGTTATTATATATATGCCCATAATAAATGCATAACATTCATATTTTCAAAATTTAAAGTTGGTACTTAATTAAAAAAGTGCTTCATATAGAAACTTAAACATTTAAAAAACAAAGAAGAATGGTATAGTCAAGTACCTCGACTATCGGATACCCGTTACTCAGCTAAAGGGACCAAAGGGAAATGGAGATATGCAAGCAGCAAAGCGTGGTTGAAATGCGCCACCTACCGGCGGTAGACAGATCTAAGCGTTTTGGGCGTTAGAGTGGGCGTGGCAATTTTTTTTTGGATCAATCGATAGGTATTGACGAGACCAATACATTTCAGTTAAATCTTAATCTAGCATGCAAATTGTAGGCGTCACAGGCTTGGGCGGTTTGTGGGCGTTAAAGTGGGCGTGGCAAACTTTTTTTTGGGTCAATCGAAAGGTTTTGGTAGGAGCAATACAGTTCAGTTAAAATTTTTGCTATAGCATCAAAGCTGTAGGAGCCACAGTTTTGGGCGGTTTGTGGCGTTAGAGTGGGCGTGGCACCATGCTGAAACAAGCTTTCGCTGCGCAAGAAGCTCTGCAAAGAAGATCTGCATGCCAAGTAGTTTCCGAAATCTCAGCGTTCGTACGGACAGACGGACAGGACAGACGGACATAGCTAGATCGACTCGGCTGGTGATCCTGATCAAGACGCTTCCTTCTACCTGTTACATACTTTCCGACGAACCTAGTATACCCTTTTACTCTACGAGTAACGGGTATAACTAAATTCCAATTCAAAATTAATTAAAACAAGGAAGAACGCTATAGTCGAGTACCTCGACTATCAGATACCCGTTACTCGAAGGGAAATGGAGATATGCAAGCAGCAAAGCGAGATTAAAATGCGCCACCTACCGGCGGTAGACAGATTTAAGCGTTATGGGCGTTAGAGTGGGCGTGGCAAATTTATTTTTGGATTAAACGATAGGTATTGACGACACCAATACATTTCAGTTAAAATTTTTTATCTAGCATGCAAATTGTGGGCGTCACAGGATTTCGCGGTTTGTGGGCGTTTAAGTGGGCGTGGCAAACTTTTTTTTAGGTCAACCGATAGGTATTGATGAGAACAATACATTTCAGTTAAAATTTTCTATCTAGCATCAAAACTGTAGGAGTTACAGTTTCGGGCGTGGCAGTCTACTGAAACAAACTTGCGCTGCGTAAGAACCTCAGGAATCTTCACGCCAAATCTCAATAGCCTAGCCCTCATAGTTTCCGAGATCTCAGCGTTCATCCGGACAGACAGACGGACAGACGGACATGGCTAGATCGACTCGGTTAGTGATCCTGATCAAGAATATATATACTTTATGGGGTCGGAAACGCTTCCTTCTGCCTGTTACATACTTTCCGACGAATCTAGTATACCCCTTTACTCTACGAGTAACGGGTATAATTATTTATTTTAGTGTGACTTTTAAGCAATTTTTTTAATATGCCAGTTTATGCGTTTATTTATCATCTTAAAAAAGTTTTTATTTTACATTTTTATCAATTCTTTTATCGTAAGATATCAAAGATGAATGTTAGAGACACTAATGTTATTTTGACCGCAGCTACATGGGTAGGACTATTTTATTTCCGGCTGTAGCTCAGTTAAGAATCCAAAAATTATTTCGAGTCGGGGTTCGAATGATAGGCAGTTTCGCTTGTCAAATGTTTTGACCAACTAACAAGCGCTTTTACTTTCTAATTAAAAATGGCTTAAAACCCACCTGTTCCTGTTTGCAAATTTGCGGTTAATTTCCTTGGAATTTTCGGGTTGAAGAATACTACTAAATAAATAAATAATATAAAATACTATTTTTTAAGTACATTTTATTTAATAATAACATCAAAATTATTTTTATTTACACTTTTTTAATAATTGTACTTGAATTCCATACGAAACAAATACTGAACATTAACCTGCGCAACATCATATACTATATACTCATTGTATAATAACGATGAATCAAAATTTGAATTGGTAACTGCTTTACCTATTGGTATTTCAACACCATCATTTCTAAAATAGCTCTTACTTGGATCTGGCATCGTGCGCCCATGACCAAAGCAACTATGTTTATCTTTTGGTAATTTTGTAACGTATTTTGCTGCTGTGCATTCCATCATATCTCTCAAAGCCACTTCAGAAAGAAGCATTAACCCAGTTGAGTTATGTTGATTTGTGCAACAATAATTTGCTAATTTTGACACCATATCAGCAAAATAAATACCTTTGCCAAACATATAGCCCGATGGTGGCGCTTCTGGGGGTGCGATCTTTAAGCCGTGTGATAAAATACCAACAAAATTGGTTAAACGAGACCCGTGCCATAGCAACTTTCTATTATGTAGCTTTTTAAATGGTGAGTTACTTTGAACACATCTATAATCTGTAAACTATAAGAGCTATGTGTAGATGCATGAGTGTTCGTAACAAACTTGCTTAGAATGGAGAACTCTTCACTATTTTTATCCAGTGGGAATAATTGAGTTTTTAGCTGTGCATAATGATTATCTAATGGCTTAATGTTATTAGTTGCATCTTCGGTTTTAATTAAGCTGTAAGCAACTTTAATCTCAGCCAATGAATCAAGCATTTGGCGCAAGTCTTCGACTTGATTATAGGTTTCAATTAATGACGGAGATTGAACTCCAAAGTTAAGAGGAATTAGCGTATACAATCTATGTGTAGCATCAATTAGTTTTGCATTTGTAGATCCGGTTTCTATTAACTTAAAAATTTCGTACACCACACTATACGCAGATTTTATCTGATGGGCACTGAGCTTTCCCAACGGCATTTTATCCATATCAATATGAAACTCCATCAATGTCCTCTTCATAGAATCAACATCAAATATTAGCGTTATTAAATTTTGCAGTGAAGGGTCTAACTTAGAATTATTAAAAATGGTGCTATGGGCTAACAACTTTTGGTCTTCATCATATTGAATTTCTATTGGGTACATAAATGCAGTTATTTTAACAAAGCTGTCTCGCTTATCGAATTCATTTCCAGTTTTGTCGGCATATACTTCCTTAAACTTTCTTTTGCCAGAGTCACTTGTGGCAAACTCCTCAATCTTTGAGCTTTCAATACTAGTTCCGATTCGACCCCATGATCGAAAAATCCAATATCTTTAATTTATAATTCGTAGAAGTTTATTATATAAATAATATATAGATATTTCCTTATAGTCGAGTGGCTCGACTATCATAAACCTTAAAAAGGTTAAATTGCTAACTTATTGACTAATGGTCCGATTTTGAGGTCAAATTCCAAAGACTTGGACAATGGTATAAGATAGGGACTATTTTTTTTTAGCAATGCCGTCATGCATTGAGTCTGTGTTGCAGAGAAAATATTATAAACCCAAATATTTAGGCCATTCAAAATGTCAGAAAACATCGCTTATTTGTATTCTTAGCTATTCCGCGGAACCTGTAGGTGATGAAAAAAAGTTTATATGGGACTTTTGGTCAGGAGCACATAATTATCATGGAAAACTAGAAATGTTTCGTGGATATTTCCCAAAGTTCAATTTTGTTTTCATGTGTTATTAGACCAATTAAATCAATTTTTTAAGAAAAAAAGCATTTTTCATTATCTATGATTTCATTATTATTATGATTTCAGTCAGAAGTTTGCAACGAAGTGAAGGAGACGTTTTCGACCCCGTAAATTATATATATTCTTGATCAGCATCACTAGACGAGTCGATCTAGCCATGTCCGTCTGTCCGTCCGTTTCTACGCAAACTGGTCTCTCAGTTTTATAGCTATCGGGCTGAAACTTTCCCAAAAGTCTTCTTTCTTTTGCAGGTAGTGTATAGGTCGGAACCAGCCGGACAACTACGAGGGTGGTCCGATAAGTACTGAGCCTCCAAATGAGAAACGAAAATTTTGGAAAAGTGGCGATTTATTTCTCAACATAATCTCATTTTAGCTCCATACACTTGACCCAGCGATGCTCAAACTTCTTTAGCACGTCTGAAAAATACGTTTTCTCGAGGACTGCAAAATTGGCCTCTGTGGCGGCGACGACCTCCTCATTCGACGCAAATTTCTGTCCAGCGAGTGACCTTTTCAAGTTTGGAAACAAAAAGAAGTCACATGGGGCCAAATCTGGAGAATATGGTGGATGGGGTAGCAGTTCGTAGCCCAATTCGACCATTTTGGCCTTGGCGAGGGCGAAAGTGTGAGCCGGTGCGTTGTCATGATGGAAGAGCACTTTATTCTTCGCCAAATGGGGCCGTATTTTGTATTAGTCGATGTAGATCACACCTTGTGAATCCCAAAAAAACGGTGGCCATCACCTGTCCGGCCGATGGGACAGTCTTCGCCTCCTTCGGAGCAGGTTCGTCGGGTGAAGTCCACTGTTTCGACTTTTCCTTGGTCTCTGGTGTGTACCAGTGGATCCATGTTTCGTCGACGGTCACGAAACGACGCAGAAACTCCTTCGGATTGCGCTTAAACAGCGTCAAACACCGCTCTGAAGTGGTCCCACGGTTGCGTTTGTTGTCCGGAGTGAGCAAACGCGGCACCCATCGCGCCGACAGCTTTCTCATGCCCAAAATTTCTTGCAGGATATGACTCACGCGGTCTTTTGACATGCCTACTGTTTCAGCTATCTCGCGTATCTTCAATCGACGGTCTGCCAGTACGAGATCGTGGACTTTTGTAACGTTATCCACCGTGGTAGCCGTTTTCGGGGCACCTGGGCGTAGCTCATCAAAAACCGACGTGCAACCACGTTGAAACTCGTTAAACCAATTTTTGACGGTCGCCATCGAAGCAGAAGAACCACCGTACACAGCATCCAAGCGCTCTTTGATTTCGCTGAGCGATTTCCCTTTGAAAAACAAGAATCGAATCACAGACCTATATTACTATTAAACAAGGAAGAACGCTATACTCGAGTACCTCGACTATCAGATACCCGTTACTCAGCTAAAGGGAGCAAAGGGAAATGGAGATATGCAAGCAGCAAGGCGAGGTTGAAATGCGCCACCTACCGGCGGTAGACAGATCTAAGCGTTATGGGCGTTACAGTGGGCGTGGCACACTTTCTTTGGGGTCAATCGATAGGTATTGACGAGACATTTCAGTTAAAATTTTGTATCTAGCATAAAATTGTGGGCGCCACAGGTTCGGGCGGTTTGTGGGCGTTAGCGTAGACGTGGCATATTCGCGAAACAAACTTGCGCTGCGTACAAGGCTACGGAATCTATATCTAAGATCCCAATTCTCTTTCTTCTATATTTTCCGAGATATCCGCGTTAATATTTACGATTTTTCGAAGTTTGTGAACGGTTTGTGGGCGTTAACGTGGGCGTGGCAAACATTTTTGGGTCAATCGATAGGTATTGATGAGAGCAATACATTTCAGTTAACATTTTTATTCTAGCATCAAAACTACAGAAGCCACAGTTTGGGGCGGTTTGTGGGCGTAAGAGTGGGCGTGGCACTCTGCTGAAACAAACTTGCGCTGTGTAAAAAGCTCAGGAATCTGCATGCCAAATCTCAATAGCCTAGCTCCCATAGTTTCCGAGATCTCAGCGTTCATCCGGACGGACAGACAGACGGACAGACGGACATGGCTAGATCGACTCGGCTAGTGATCCTGATCAAGAATATATATACTTTATGGGGTCGGAGACGCTTCCTTCTGCCTGTTACATACTTTCCGACGAATCTAGTATACCCCTTTACTCTACGAGTAACGGGTATAATTATTTATTTTAGTGTGACTTTTAAGCAATTTTTTTAATATGCCAGTTTATGCGTTTATTTATCATCTTAAAAAAGTTTTTATTTTACATTTTTATCAATTCTTTTATCGTAAGATATCAAAGATGAATGTTAGAGACACTAATGTTATTTTGACCGCAGCTACATGGGTAGGACTATTTTATTTCCGGCTGTAGCTCAGTTAAGAATCCAAAAATTATTTCGAGTCGGGGTTCGAATGATAGGCAGTTTCGCTTGTCAAATGTTTTGACCAACTAACAAGCGCTTTTACTTTCTAATTAAAAATGGCTTAAAACCCACCTGTTCCTGTTTGCAAATTTGCGGTTAATTTCCTTGGAATTTTCGGGTTGAAGAATACTACTAAATAAATAAATAATATAAAATACTATTTTTTAAGTACATTTTATTTAATAATAACATCAAAATTATTTTTATTTACACTTTTTTAATAATTGTACTTGAATTCCATACGAAACAAATACTGAACATTAACCTGCGCAACATCATATACTATATACTCATTGTATAATAACGATGAATCAAAATTTGAATTGGTAACTGCTTTACCTATTGGTATTTCAACACCATCATTTCTAAAATAGCTCTTACTTGGATCTGGCATCGTGCGCCCATGACCAAAGCAACTATGTTTATCTTTTGGTAATTTTGTAACGTATTTTGCTGCTGTGCATTCCATCATATCTCTCAAAGCCACTTCAGAAAGAAGCATTAACCCAGTTGAGTTATGTTGATTTGTGCAACAATAATTTGCTAATTTTGACACCATATCAGCAAAATAAATACCTTTGCCAAACATATAGCCCGATGGTGGCGCTTCTGGGGGTGCGATCTTTAAGCCGTGTGATAAAATACCAACAAAATTGGTTAAACGAGACCCGTGCCATAGCAAGTTACTTTGAGTTACTTTGAACACATCTATAATCTGTAAACTATAAGAGCTATGTGTAGATGCATGAGTGTTCGTAACAAACTTGCTTAGAATGGAGAACTCTTCACTATTTTTATCCAGTGGGAATAATTGAGTTTTTAGCTGTGCATAATGATTATCTAATGGCTTAATGTTATTAGTTGCATCTTCGGTTTTAATTAAGCTGTAAGCAACTTTAATCTCAGCCAATGAATCAAGCATTTGGCGCAAGTCTTCGACTTGATTATAGGTTTCAATTAATGACGGAGATTGAACTCCAAAGTTAAGAGGAATTAGCGTATACAATCTATGTGTAGCATCAATTAGTTTTGCATTTGTAGATCCGGTTTCTATTAACTTAAAAATTTCGTACACCACACTATACGCAGATTTTATCTGATGGGCACTGAGCTTTCCCAACGGCATTTTATCCATATCAATATGAAACTCCATCAATGTCCTCTTCATAGAATCAACATCAAATATTAGCGTTATTAAATTTTGCAGTGAAGGGTCTAACTTAGAATTATTAAAAATGGTGCTATGGGCTAACAACTTTTGGTCTTCATCATATTGAATTTCTATTGGGTACATAAATGCAGTTATTTTAACAAAGCTGTCTCGCTTATCGAATTCATTTCCAGTTTTGTCGGCATATACTTCCTTAAACTTTCTTTTGCCAGAGTCACTTGTGGCAAACTCCTCAATCTTTGAGCTTTCAATACTAGTTCCGATTCGACCCCATGATCGAAAAATCCAATATCTTTAATTTATAATTCGTAGAAGTTTATTATATAAATAATATATAGATATTTCCTTATAGTCGAGTGGCTCGACTATCATAAACCTTAAAAAGGTTAAATTGCTAACTTATTGACTAATGGTCCGATTTTGAGGTCAAATTCCAAAGACTTGGACAATGGTATAAGATAGGGACTATTTATACCCGTTACTCGTAGAGTAAAAGGGTATACTAGATTCGTCGGAAAGTATGTAACAGGCAGAAGGAAGCGTTTCCGACCCCATAAAGTATATATATTCTTGATCAGGATCACTAGCCGAGTCGATCTAGCCATGTCCGTCTGTCCGTCTGTCCGTCTGTCCGTCTGTCCGTCTGTCCGTCTGTCCGTCTGTCCGTCTGTCCGTCTGTCCGTATGAACGCTGAGATCTCGGAAACTATGAGAGTTACAATACTGGGATTAGGCACGCAGATTCCTGAGATTCCTGCGCAGCGCAAGTTTGTTTCAGTAGAGTGCCACGCCCACTCTAACGCCCACAAACCGCCCAAAACTGTGGCTCCTACAGTTTTGATGCTAGAATAAAAATTTTAACTGAAATGTAATGTTCTCATCAATACCTATCGATTGACCTAAAAAAAAGTTTGCCACGCCCACTTTAACGCCCACAAACCGCGAAAACCTGTGACGCCCACAATTTTTATGCTAGATAAAAAGTTTTAACTGAAATGTATTCGTCTCGTCATTACCTATCGATTGACTCAAAAAAAAGTTTGCCACGCCCACTTTAACGCCCACAAACCGCAAAAACCTGTGACGCCCACAATTTTCATGCTAGATAAAAAATTGTAACTGAAATGTATTGGTCTCGTCGATACCTATCGATTGATCCAAAAAAAAATTTGCCACGCCCACTCTAAC